CCTCTTTCTGGTCGCAATCGATGTCTACCCCGATCCGGACTAGACGTCCCAACTCTTCGACATGATGTTCCTACCCCGACCAAAGAGTGAAATCAGGTAGCCCCGATTTCTACCGTATACAGAGACACAAAAAATAGGTTGTAGCATTACAATCAAGAAGGGTAGAGCAAAATCATGTTTTTGACAATGTGAATATAGACAATAGAGGTCTCAGGTTCGAACGTTAAAAATAAAAATAAAAATCTTGATAAAAAGTTTTTTTCTTGCTCGTTAATAAATTTATGTGGCGTATCCGAATTAATAAGGGCCCAAAATACAAATGTCTAACATTGGATGAAAGACTAAAAAAACCTTGAATCATAGTACAACTCATACATTCCAATAATTAAAAAATTAGGAATGATATAATGTTCGAAAACTTTAGAAGATACCAACGTAGGCCATATGGAATCACATAAAGCAAGCAAAGTGGAGCGCTTAAAACCTTGAATTGGAGTCTGAACAAAAAATTAGTGTTGTCATTTCCAGTGACATATAAAGTCTGATCATAGGCACATAAAGTTTATGTTATTTCTCTGTATATATATATATCGGATTTGGTCAGTGAGACGTAGAAATAGTACTTCAAGATGCATTACGTGTCCAAGGACTTTTGACTTTTGTTCTTCTTGGCATCTATTATTTTGGCACAAATCTTTTTGGTTCTTAAAAAGAAACAGTATGAGGCATGTAAGGGAGCCACTACGAAGAAGTTCAGTATGTTATTATTTTAGATTTAACCAATTTGATGAATTACTCCTAAAGGTTGACATCAAACTAGTGCTAGTTTACCATAAGATTATTTTATTTTTAATTAAAGGTCTCGAGTTCGAGCTTTATAAAAAAAAGATTTTGATAATAAAATATTTTTTCTTTTAATGAGTCTTACGCCGTACAAATTCGATTTAATTAATTCTAATATCAGACTACAAATGAGAAGCTCAAAGAAAAGACTAAGCGATGGCTGATGAATAACCTATCGGACTTGTAATTGTCCACATATACACGTATCCCGTCTTCTCAACATTTATCACATTTGCCTTTACACAATTAAGATAAGTTGACAATCATTGTGCAATTATTAACATAGATTTATGTTTGACCAAAAAGTATAAAACCTTTTGTTAAATTAATTAAATAAAAAAATAAGGGATTAATCCTAGTTAAAGATAATAACCTTGGATCTAAAATAAGCTTATGTGAATAACGTGGGGACCGTGTTAAAATAGATTTAATGCAATACACATTAAATGTTGCGGTTAGTAATAGAGTGAGGACAATGATAAGCAATAAATACAATAAATGACACTAAATATAAATAAGGAGGAAGATTCACCCAATTTTAAATGAGGTGGAGGATTCCTTCCTCTGACAATGATGCATGACAAGAATATAAGAGAATATGGGAATTTTCTCGGATTTGGTGGAAATGACAATAGATAATCTAAAGAGATCGAACCTCTCTCAGAAAGTAGTTTTCTGTATTTATCTAGAGAGCTTACTTTTCAAAAGTGTTCTTATCATATGTAATATTACATGCCTTTTGTCTTATCTCTCCTAATATTTATATGAGATATTCCCAAAGAACCCTAAAAAGTACAAATAGATGGAATATTCAATAGAATATTCCCTTTGAAGGTTCCAAAGCTATACTAGCAGTTGCTTCTGTCCATGATGCTCGACCTCGACCTTGATGAGCCACTATGCGGCTTGTTCTGTTGACCACTGATCGACCTCGGCCAAACTGCTCATGATAAGTTACAAATCTCACGATAATCACCTCTTCGTGATGAATTTCCTCGGTCGGATTTTGACCCATACAGTTAGTCTCTTCACTTATCGTGGTCGTCTTTTGGTCGACCTCAATGAGAGAATTTCATTAGTCATAGTTTGAGAAATTCGGATGGGGAGGTCGAGTAGTGAGGATCGCAACCGAGATGGTGACGTGGCGTTTTAAGAACCACACTTAATGACGTTGGTTCAGAATGACGTCACTGCCTCACGCGTCATCATTACGCATCTTCCCAATGCGTTGCGTCGCTTCCCGTGTCCTTGTTGTTTTGATCCCTACGCATTTGACGGTTAATTATCTCGATCCGAGCGCCGGTGTTCTCTATAAATAAAGGGGGACCCTTTGAATGAACCTTTACATTTTCTAATCTTTTGAACCTGCATCTTTTCTTCTCTTTTTTTTTTCTGTGTTCTTGCTCTAGTTGCTTCCGTCTTTCGCACTCTCTCTCCTTTCCAGTTCGAGTGACTCTTGTTGTTTCTGTCTCTTTCGAGTTCATATCTTCTGCATTTACAATCAACCAACAATGGTGGATACACCTCTTGTCTCTGGTGAGTTTCTTGAACCAACTCCACTAGGAGTGAGGATGCCTCCTCACGATGAGGATGTTGCATTGCCAAGGATGAGAGCTTTCCCACCATAGAGGAAATCATTACTCGTAACGATAGGGCCATGTCGGACTTCTCGAAGTTGCCTGCGGATGACCCTAAGCCTGTGAAGTCCAAGATCGAAGCAGCCCATCCTGAGCCTGTGACGTCCAAGGTCGCGGTCTCACCCGAGGGCGGGATAGCTTTAGGCACAGAGACTGCGCTCTCTCCAGATATAGAATTTGCTCCCCTGCCGGAGGTCACCGTGGAATGATGAGGGCGATCAGAGAAAGCGGAGGTCATTCCGAGGAGTGATACGTCGCCGTCAGGGCAGGCCGACGTCCTTTCCTCTGCCGAGGAGAGGGGGAAGGGTGTGGTTGTAGATGGCTATGAGTCAGGTTCCGACATCGACCCCGAAGAGGAAAGGATGTTCAATGAGGGGTTTACTCGGGTAGATGTGAGAATGGAGGGACGTACTCATTCTATAGTCATTCCCTTGGACTGCGACTTGTTGACGAACACAGAAAGTGTGGTCCCTTCTTTGGTTCCTCTTTACTCGGGCGCCGAGAACAGGACTTTACGGACGTTCAAGGATGCCAATCTGTCGTTAGGCATATCCGTAATGGCTTTGAGGTAAGTTTGTATTTGTATCTTACGTCCTTTCTTCTTTTTGCTTTTATTGACTTTTTGGTTCTTCCTTTTTCACTTAGCCCCTCATTTTGGAGATGAGAGTGCCCACCGAGAGGAGAAGCAGAAGGTTATTTTTAAGAAAATGTTTTCAAGTATCGTGAGTACCGTGACAAGTGCCATGAGATGGAAATAAGCTCAACTTATAGGTTGATTTTGATGTAGTGACCAAGTAATGAGCAACATCAAGGAGATGGATAAGATTATTTGCTTTATAAAAAAATAGATTTTGATAATAAAATGTTTTTCCTTTTAGTGAGTCTTACGCAGTACAAATTCGATTTAACTAATTCGAATATGAGACAACAAATGAGAAACTCAAAGAAAAAACTAAGCGATGGCTGATCAATAACCTATCGGACTTATAGTTGTCCATATATACACGTATATATCCCGTCCTCTCAACATTTATCACATTTCCCTTTACACAATTTAAGATAAGGTGACAATCATTGTGCAATTATTAACATCATATATCCTTTTAAAAATAATAATAACAAAAAAATATACAACATATTCGTGAATTATAGACAAACTCATACATAAAAGCCTAATTAAATGGTAGTCTTAGAATGAAAGTAATTACCATTTTTTGAAGAGTGACATGTACCAAGCATAAATTCCTTTTCTACTTCAGCGAAGGGCAAAATATTTACCAAAATCATGGTATTCACGAAAATTTGACGTCTGACAATAAGAAAAAAAAAACAGCTCGATATTAATGGCTACTTTTACGGTTAAACTCGTGACCTATAGATCACATAGAGACAACTTTATCATTGCTTCAAAACTCCCTTTCATCTGACAATAAGAAATAACTCTGAATATGATTTATAAGTAATATCGTATTTAACTTCTTAATTACCGGTTCAACATAATCCAATATTTGATGTAATTATCAATGTCTCAGGAGTAATAAACTTTTTCTTAGTGGGCGCTTGGACATAAGAACGGTAAAATTTAAAAAAAAAAAAAGTGATTTTTTTTTAAATGAAAATGATATTTGAAAATTAGAGTTATGTTTGGACATGATATAATTTTGGGTTATTTTTGAAGTTTTGTGAGTAATTTGAGTGAAAATTTTGAAAACAGCTTTTTGGAGTTTTTCAAATTTTCAAAAAAATTCAAAATTCATGTTTAAGTGGAAATTAAAATTTTGTGACCAAACACTAATTTTAACAAAAATTTAAAAAATTGTTATGTCCTTGGGAAGCATCACAAAACAAGTTGCGTGCCGTCAACTTCAACTTTTGCTTTTGCTATTTCTTTTTCTTCTTATTCACTCGATAATAATTGCATCCAACACGAAGATCAAGTTGATATTATTTTATTTTATTTTTACGAGTCGAGTCTAGTAGCTTTTGATTAAAGTTTATATTTGTATTAAAGTATTTATTAAAAATATATAAATATTTAATAGCGTACCAAATAACTAAGATGAATTATTATTTCGATGAAAAATTCATTACTCATAAATTTTAAATCTCAATCCTGAAGATTAGAGAGTTTTGTTTAAATAATTAAATCAGCGGAGAGATAGCATCAGAGAAAATACATCTCACTTGGCATTTTTCGAAAAGTCTGCAGCTTTGGTACGTACGGGAGAATATGATATACTTATCAACAAATTGATTTGTCTTTTGTCGGTGACTTAAATAGTTTTTTTTCTTCCTTTAGCTATAAATTTTTTTTTTCGAAAGAATTTTTTTTTATTTCAACCATTTTGTCAGTTTACATCATCTGTTCTTGTGGACCATAGAACAGATCTCATAAGTACAACTACATAAAATACTATACAACTATTGTTGTTTAGCAAAATCCTAACACTATATAGACTCTAGCTGTCATATGTGCCTTGGATTACATGTAGGATAACTATTGAATGACTGCATAATATATTACCATTTAAGCTTCTTCTGTCCAGCAATATGTACTTGAAGAGCAATTTCCTTTGCTCTGTCTTTGGCTTCTCTGCTCAGCTGTTGAAACCTTCTATCATTTCGCTTCATCCAGATGTTGTATACTACTGCTGCAAATACCACTCCTGGCAGTGTCTTTCTTGGATTCCTGTTGTTTACATTGGCAATTAGCCATTGCAATTCTGTTTTCCAGTTACCAGTTGTTCTTTGGTACTCTAGCCATCTTAACATTCCTTTCCATAGACTCTGTGAGTATGAACATTCGAAGTACAAGTAGTCATGTGTCTCTTCAATATCTCTTCCACACAATGTGCATGACTGATCTACTTGAACTCCCCATTTGGCTAATCTGTCAACTGTAGTCAATCTTCTATGCATTGTCATCCATAAAATGTACTTATGTTTTGGTAGCATTCCAGTTACCATAACTAGTGTTTTCCAGTGGACTTTGAGATATTGTGGAGTAGTATGAAGGTAAGCCTTCCTGATACTAAACTTCCCATTCTCAGTGCAGGTTTGAATTCTTGTGAAATCATTAGCCCACTACTCTCTTGCTGCAAACAGTTTCCTTACTAGCCAGCTAGCTTGCCTAGGAATCTCCATAGTAGTAATGTCTTTCTTCTTTATGTAGTGGCAGTGAATCCACTTGATCCAGAGTTTGTCTTTCTTAGACATTATGGCCCAAAGAAGCTTAGTCAAGGCAGTTTTATTCCATCTATCATAATCGATAATGTTTAAACCTCCAGCAGTTTCTGGTTTACACAAAGTCTCCCATGCTATAGGAGCCCTATGACTAGTATCATGACTACCAGTCCATAGGTAATTCCTGCATATACCATTTACCAGTTTAATAACTTTTTTTGGAATGAAAAATACTTGAGCTCAGTAAGTCTGTATTTCAAACAATACACTCTTGATGATTTGTAGTCTTCCAGCATAGAATAAAAACTTGGATGTCCAGCTTTTGATTATGTCCACTATCCTCTCCACTAATGGCATGCATTGTGCTATAGTAATTTTCCTTGTGGACAGAGGTACTCCCAAATATTTGAATGGAAAGCTGCCTTCTGCTAGGTGAAGCTCTGCTAGCATTTTTTCTTTGAATTCCCTGGGAACACGTGCTATGTACAGTGAGTTTTTTTTTCAAATTTACTTGAAGGCTTGCGGCCTTTGAGAATTGATCAAACACTTCCATCAACATCTTCATTGAAACCTCATCAGCCCTGCAACACATCAAGAGATCATCTGCAAAGCAAATGTGTATTACTTGTAGTCTGGTGCATTTGGGGTGGAAGTTAAAATCTGGATTCCTAATTAATGTCTTCAATGATTTGTTTAGATACTCTATGGCTAATACAAACAAGTAGGCAGACATTGGGTCCCCTTGTCTTAGCTCTTTCTTTGCTTCAAACTTGTTGGTCAATCCTCCATTCAATAATAGAGTAGTTTACTGTAGAAACACACTCCATAATCAATGTTACTAGTTTGTAAGGCACCCCAAATTCAAGTAGTACTGCTTTCAAAAAGCCCCATTCTACTGAGTCGTAGGCTTTTCTGATGTCTACTTTGATCATGCATCTAGGAGATACTGCCTTTTGAGTATACCCTTTGATCAATTCATGACCCATAATAACATTATCAAGAATATTCCTCCCTTCTATAAAAGCAGATTGTGAAGGCCCAACCAGAAAATCAACAACCAATTTAAGTCTATTTGTCAGAATCTTAGCAATGATCTTATACATTGTTGAGCAACAAGCAATAAGCCTAAATTCTTTAACATAACTGGGGTTCTACACTTTTGGGATCAGTGTAACATTTGTGCAATTTATGTCTTCCAGTAATCTGCCATTTTGAAAGAATTGTTGCACTGTCTCTGTAATTTCCTTTCCAATAATTGGCCAAAAATCTCTAAAACATTCTGCAAGGTATCCATCTATACCTGGTGCCTTGTCATTAGGTAAGTTCTTCACTATCTGGCAGATCTCTTCCTTTGTTACTGGCAGTAACAATTGTTGTTGCTGGTTCAGTGTTAAACAAAGGCCATCTCTTGTTATATTGATGTCAATCCCTGGCAATTGTTCTGCTGTTGTTCCCAATAGTTGCTGAAAGAATTGTGTGAACTCTTGTTGAATCTGTTTTGGATCAGTAATCTTCAACTGATTTTCATTGAAGATACAACTCACCTTATTTCATGCTTGCCTGGCTCTCATATATGCATGGAAATACTTGGTATTACAGTCTCCCAATTGGATCCAAGTTGCTCTTGATTTCTGCCTCATTATTTGTTCTTGAATTGCTTCCCATTTTTCAATACTTTCTAGAGATTTCCTTTCTTCTTCAATTAATACTTTGTTGAAATAATCTTCATTCAGCTTTCCTTGGGTCACTTTCAATTCTTCTCTCATTTGCTTTAGCTTATGGTCAACTGAGGAGTGCTCCTTTTGTATATCTCTGGTTTCTTGTTCAAGCTTCTTCAGTTTGGTTCAAACAGAATACATGGTGAATCCTTTGATCTTCTGTCTCCAAATTCTCTAGACTGCTTCCTTGTATTCTCTTTGGTTCATCACTGTTGTTAGTAACCTGTATGGCTTTCTCACTCTTACCTTTATCACCTCAGTGTCTAGCATTATAGGAGTATGGTCTGAACAACCAGGTAACATATATACTGCCTCAATTCCAGTGTAAGAGTTGAACCACTCAGCATTGCCAAAAGCCCGGTCTATATGGCTATATACTCTGACCTCTGCATCCCTCTTGTTACTCCATGAAAATCTGCTTCTTCTTTTGGTGATTTGTCCCACTCCAATATCATCAATGCAGTTCTGAAAATCAGTCATTTCTGCTTGATGAACTGGCTGTCCATTTATTATGTCATCTACACTTAAAACACTATTAAAATCTCCCATTATAAGCCAAGGTCCACAATGCTGAATATTCCTCAAGCTCCTCCATAGTGATACTCTGTGTTGTATGGTGTGTAGGCCATATACAAATGTTATGTAGCTAGTGAATGTTGAATTCTTGTCCTTCACCTAACAGCGAATCAGTTGGTATGTGCTACCCAGAATTGCAACATGAACAATTGTTTCTTTCCACATTATCCATATCATTCCATTTGGTGCAAATGCATAGTTGTCTTCTACTTTCCAATCCCCACCCATTTTCTTGTAAATAGCCTTTGCTTTTTGTTGTTTTACTCTAGTTTCTAGGCAAGCAATCATTCTACTTTATTTATCCGCAAGAACTTCTCTAATTCTCGCTGTTTATAGGACTTGTTCAGTCCTCTTATGTTCCAAGACACAATGATCATGGGGGATTATGATTACTTGAGGTGCTTCCCTGGGTCAATTGGCCTGATCCATTTCCGGATACTTGCTGCTGTTGATTCCCATCTGATGGTCTTTCCAGTATGGTCAGTGCAACAAATGCATTCCTTTTAGCCAATTCATCATAATTGACCTCTCTATACTTTGCTTTGTCAACTGGTCCTTTTACAACTACTACTTGTTTCCCTCTGTTGTTCACCTGTACCTCCATTTCAGGATGATCTATTGGCTCATCTTGTTGTTGAATGGTTGTACTCTCTTCAGCTACAACTTTTGGTTTCCACTTCATTATGGTTTTCTTCTTTCTTCTCCTTCTCTACTTCCTTGGTCCTTCCTCTTGTTGCACATCTTTTTGACAGTCACCAATATTATGCCCAAATGTGTTACACTCTAGATAGAATTTCGGTTTCCATTCAAATTCCACATTCTGCATCCAACTTCTTCCATCTGGTATCTCAATATAGATCTCATCAGGCAACGGCTGAGTTATGTCCATTTCCATAAGGACTCGAGCATAAGAAATCCTCTCACACTTAGTAGTTAATCTATCAGTGCATATAGGTTTTTCCTAGTAAGCTAGCTATCCTCCCTAGATTTTCCTCAGCCCAGCACTGAATTGGTAGACCAGGTAAATCTACCCATATTGGAACAATTCTCTTTGATTCCTTCTTGATCTGGAAGTTTGGATCACAATCCTTCAATATCATAGGTTTGCTATTGAACGTGTAAGGGCCATTTTGCACTATTAGGTTTTTGTCCTCCATAGATTCAAATTTAAAGATGAAGTACCCGTCATCGTGTAGTAACACTGTTGGAGTTGTAACAGTGTTCCAAACACCATAGACGAACTTAAGCATCTCCTTAAATGACGGGTTGCCCCCAGTACATAACCTATTAATGTTGTCATCCACTTCTGGGTCTGCAATTTTACCTCCTTTGGATTTAATTTGGCAATTTTCACTCCATCCTTCACCATCGGAGGATAGAATTTGAGTTGCATGCCCTGATTTTGTACTTTGTTACCTTTAACAACATCAGCCATAGTTTGTTTTTGAGATCTAGCTGAGTATGTAAGTTTCCTTGCCGCTGAAAGCATACATGTTTTCATTGGTTATATTTCGCTTTTCTCCACTTCCAGCTAAGCTTGCATGACCGTACGAGCACTTCCCATACCTGGTAACCAATGTAACAGTTGCATTGGGGCTATTTTTTGTGGAATGCCGCTTTCTGGGGTAATTAATCTCGTCATATTTACAGTTTGGGGGGAATTATTAGTGTAGGTCGGTTATGGTGGAATCCGGTGGATCGGTGATTGTCAGCTGCTTTGCTTAACAAATCGCCAGAGTTTCTCTCTTTACTTTCTCTCTCTACATCCCCTCCCCTTCAAAGAAGGACTTGAGCTATAATTAATCATACTATTTTTGTACACTCTTGAAGAGTATATTGTAGCCATCCAAAACATTTATGCTCAATGTATGCGTTAATTTCTCCGGAAGACAACAACATCTAGGGATGTTCAAAGAAAACCGATAAATCGCACTAAACTGATAATTCGAGTCAAATCGGAAAAAAAAAATCAGTTATATTTTTGTGTTGGGAAAGAAAAATCGATTATAATTGACCTGATTTGGTTATAGCCAAAAAAAATCAAACCGAAACTAAACCAACCTCACATTACATTATATAATTTATAAAAATATTTTATATAATCAATATTCATAGTAATATAATTTATAAATATTTCTTAAACTTGCTCACAGTTTTATCTTTAAACATATTATTTAAAGTTTGGACTTAACATTTTTGAATGGTCCAATAAATTTTATAGCTCATAAATGTAGTAAGTCAAATAAAGTTCAAATCAATACTAATAAAGAAAATTGAATTTACCACTAGGAATGACAATAGTGTTGGATATTTATTTATTAGTTTTACATTGGTTTATAATAAACATGCATAACCTAGTTTATCTTTTTCTTTAGTACTTAGTTGTGTAATTAATAGTACTTATTAGTTGTACTTATTTTAGCATGACCTATATAGTATTTT